AAGCGTGCCCGTGGTCGTTGTCTGCCGCACTGCAGCCCAGGCACTTCTCCTGGAAGGGTTTCTACACCGCTACATGCGACGATAGTATCCCCAAATGGTCATCTCAGAGTCATCTCGGAGTCTGACTCCAAGGAGCTTTACAGCCTCGACGCGCAGGACGTCCTTCTGCAGCAGCTTCACTGGCGCGCACAGCGCTCGGCTCGCCAGCTCAAGGTCTGGAAGCAGTGGTTTGACCAGCAGACCAACGTCGTTGGCTCCACGGACGCCGCTTTGCCAGAGGAGACCTCGAGCCTGGACCTCTGAAAGGGAGCTCTTTTGGCTCTTTTTCCCCCCCAACCACCGATCCTCTAGGGATCCTTTCGGCAGGGGACGTACAGCATTTGCAGCCTTCGAGTTGTCGAATTCGTCACGCTTGCAGCACCAGAAGAAAACAGTGTGGATGCCTGCATGAGCTTGCTCAAAGAGAGGCGCTCCGCTTCGGGCGCTCTTCGGGCATTCTCTGCTGCAATTGCACGGGCGGCGAGTCCAAGGGCGAGCAGCTCGAGGTGCGACGGTTGCGAGGCCCCACAGTACTTGGGAAGAATGCACGCGCCACTCGAATGCCAGTGGCTGAAGCGGGGCTGCCACATCATCGTGGCCACGCCTGGCCGTTTGAATGAGGCCGGGCCCCCGAATTCGATTTTAAGGGGAGCTAGGCCCTTCGCTGGGGGCTTTTTCAGAGTTGCGGGGCAGGCACCTCGGCGTCATACTTGCGTTCGATTCCGCTTATGACTTGTGGGATGCTTGTCGGCCTGTCGGATGAAGCTGAGGGGGAATCCCAGGATTTCAGCGACCTTAATTATACTGCCACGACCGAAGCACTGCCGAGCCTGCTTGCGCCTCGAACCTGTGACCATGAAATTGATCAACAGACAGTTCTTCTAAAGTCCTAAACACGAGCGACGAGGAAGGAGATGGCTGCCATCACTGCAATTGCAGCATCAGTAGCAAAAGCTATCGTTATGCTTTGTGGTTGTTAGCGAAAACTGGCGTGTGTTCATTTTCAGGATACTGTTACTGGAGAAGAAATGCACCATTTCAGCGAGTAGTAATAGTTGCTGCAATCAGGGCGAACCTAACTTGTGACGCATTTCAGACGTAGCAGACAAGCAGAGAAAGCGAAGCCGAACTCATCGCTGATGCAGTTCCGCGAGAAGCAGCAAGTCTGGCTCGGTCAAGTCTCGTATCTGACACTAGACGAGGCGCTGGGGCAAGTGCTATTTCCTTTCTTCGGGCCGGCTGAAGACGATTTTGTGGGCACAGTGCGATTGTTGGGGTTGACTATGAATTGAATTCAACTTTGGGCGTGGGCGAGATCTTCACAAGTTGGCTGTCAGGACAGCAGGCTCAGAAAGGCTAGGCCAGAGAGAAATTGGCTTGTAGTCCCTTCATGGTGGGCTTCCGGGTTTTGATATCAGTCGGTTGAAGCACGGCGTTTTGCAAAGCACTGCGAGCGAGCGCGGCAGCTGGCAGGCAGACAGAATGCTGGACATGGGTTTCGAGCCGCAAATTAGAAGAATCGTGGAGGACACGCTGGCTGATGGCACTTTAACTCTTCTCCCTCAGGGGCCGACAGGACTGCCCTACAAGGCGGCAGACTCTGCTGTTCAGCGCAACGTGGCCCAAGGCAAGCCTTCCAGGAAAGTCTCCTCCTACACTGTTTGGATCGTCTGTAGCTGCTCCTGGACAGCGGCTCAGTGCCACATGTGGGAACGTGCCTTGACTGCCGGCTCCGAAAACTTGCTGGCTCGAAGCTGGACATGCGGACACGGGTGGCGCATGTAGTCGCACAGCTCGAAATCATTCCACCCCGAAGCTTAGGTGTTCTCTCGATAGTGCGAGATCCACATTGACGCTGATCCTTCACTCCTTTCTCGCAATGTTGTGTCAACATGGTCAGAAGGCGTAGCTGCCGGACAGTGTCAAGAGTATTCGCAGAGGGCCGTTTGAGGGAGGTGCCCCTGCAACAGGTAGGTCACTAGCCCACACCTTTGGGGCACTCCACAAGCGCTCGCGACGCTGGCAATCTGCGGCCTGGGAGAGGCGAGGGAAAGTCATGTGTAATATAATACAGGTTAATACAATATAATAAGCCCATACAGCTGCTTTGTAGTGTGGGCACAGCTGAGCACAGCAGACGCATTGTGATCATTGGCGAGCTTTCTGAGAAGTTGCCGTCACTGAGCACAAGCCTTAAGAGCTGCAGCCTCTCAGCAGTAAAAGCTCGTTGATTGTAATCTTCAAAATTCTAATGCCCGTTTGTTCAGGATGCCGTGGCCCTCATCAAGCTCGCCAGGAACTTGAATCTCGGGTACCGGGGTCGCCTACGACGAGATATGGAATCAAGTGCACCATGTCAAGTGGAAGACTCTGAGGCTGCCTACCGCCGCAAGCCTCGCTGCTCTCGGGCTTGCAGGCACTTGGACTTCGGCAAACAGTGGCGACGCTCGATGGGATGGGGAGCACGTGGTCGTGCCCTTGACAGCTTCTCTTTGGGGCCTCATGTTGTGGTGTACCATGTCATTCAACGTCGAGGGCAGTAGCTACTGCAATTCTGTGGAAGCATTGGCTCCAGAGTTTGTGCGCATGGTCTGATACCATGCCCTGTTCCGCGCCAAGGTGGAGGCCTTCTACTTGTCAAGACTAGTTTTGGACCCCACCAGAGGCCTCGTAGGTCGTAGCTTGTTGCGAGCGTTGGAAGGTGTTGGGTGCTTTTGTTGGCCGGATGTGCAGCCGGTGATCTCCGTGGTCATGAATTCGAAATCGAGCTCAAGGACTTGCATTGGTGGGGACATTGCAGAGAGGTCTCGATGGAGGTATCCTCTCGCTTTGCAGAGGAGAGCATCTCGATGCCCATCCCTCCAGGGTTCACAGAGCCTCGACGGCACTTTCAGTACCGACTCGGCAGCGCGGCGGGATGGTCGGATTAGATATTCTCAGGCCCTATCGCCGCAGCTGCCAGGCAAGCTGGTCGTGCGAGTCCCGGTTGTCAAAGCATCAGCCTCTTCAAGTCTGTCTTCGGTTGTTGTCCCCAGGTAACAAGCTTCGAGGCGACACCCTTCGTGGGCAAGAATGGCGCCTCGCAGAAGTCTACAAGGAGAGCCTATCCGGGATCTGTCCAGGGTATTTAAGACCTTGAGGTGTCTTCCTCGTGGACGTGGGATCCCATTCAGGACCTGCCCAGGACCGGCCACCAGCAGTCATTCTCTGGAGCACTGTGTAACTCTAATCACTTTGGCAAGGCAGACGAATTGCTGCTCCATGGTTCTGATATCACAGGAGTTACCAGGCAGCGGCAAGATCAATTGGCCGAACAGCACCTCGCCTTTCGCTTGCTGCCTCAGCATGTTGTCTTGACTCGTACCCAGCCAGGCTTTGTGCAGCTGAGGCATCACGACTCTGAATGCCAGCGTTTTCGGCTTCACTGCGGTGGCTATTGGGAACGGCTTCCTCGTACCAACGCACACGACAGGCTGGACAGTGTGAGCGTGCTGTAGAGCTTCCGAGATTCACCGTTCCAGGTGGTGTCTACGTCATGGAGGCCTGGAAGCTGCCTCCTTGCTCGAGCAGAGTCAGCTGTTAGCTTGCCCTCCAGGCATCTACCCAGCCAGCCACTCTCCAGGAGCCTGTCCTGCAGCTGCAAGCTAAACGGCTGACAAGAGCAAACGAGAGCTACATGTGCCTATGCTTATCAGATTCTCCTCGCCACATCCCAGGTCAAGATTTCCAAGGACCTGTCTGGCTGGTTCTACCACCAGGCCGTGCTTTTTTCGCAGTTACACGCCCAGGCTGCATCATTGCCTGTCCGAGGCACACTTTGTGGATATGGATGGGGATGGGCTTTTGGATGTCCTCACCGCTAGATGCGAATACGCCGTCTGGCCCTGGGCAAAGAAGCGTGGCGAGCTGGTCTGGCTGAAACAGCCGGCAAAGGATGCTTTGGCTGGGCCGCCGTGGGAAGAGCACGAGCTAGGTCCTGGGCCAGACTTCCTTTTCTGCGTGCATCCCAACAGCTCTCGGCTGGCTCTGGTCGCGCCGGAGTTCGTGAGCGGACGAGTGGTCTATTGGTTCATGCAGCAAAATGGAACGATGAGCAGCCGGCTACTGGACGACACCATTGGCCCTGGATTTTCTTGTTCCTGGACGGATCTGAATGCAGACGGACACCTGGACTTGCTGGTAACGAACCATGCAGCCGTCAACGGCTCCGTTTTTGCCTATTCCTTCAGCAGTGATGACATTGCCTCGTCACAGATCACTCGGCACGTGCTAGCGACAGGCTTCACGCCTGCCAAGATCGACAAAGGTAAGGCCTCGCCTGGAGATGCTCTGGCTTTCCAGCCTCAAACTAATTCGACAGACAAACCGTATATCTTCGTGTCCGGAGACAACTCCAACAGCATTTTTCTTCTGACACCTGTATCGAAGGACCAATCGGATTGGAGATACTCTCTGAAAGAAGTGCAAGACTTCGGAGCGGACATCGGTCGGCCATCCATCGGCGATGTGGACGGCAACGGTTTTGCAGACATTTTCGTGCCTGTGTACGACTCAAAGCGAGTCGTCCACTACGAATTCCGCCGGGCGCGTAGTAGAGAGATTGCGATTCACGTTTGAATTTTGAAGAGATGACGGATGCTGCAATCCATGTTTCGATGAGTACAGGATCGCTGACTTGAAAATCCGAGTCAACCACTTTTCAGCAACGAGACATCCTGCTCTCGCTTGCTCAATCGCGCATGGTGCTGTACATAGGGAACTGGACTCTGACCCAGCAGGTCGTGCTTGGCGTAGGCTGTCCAGAGGACCAGGGTGTAAGATTGTCCGACAAGTCTGACACTGGGGTGAACATCAGACTCCAAAATGTGCTTGATCGTGTGTTTGAAACTGAAGTATGTAACTGCTCGAAGCAATAACAGTACCGGGGTAGCTGCCATGCGAAACTGCAAATCACTCTCTCTGTCTGGCTACTAGTTTCTAGAAAGTATGTCGCGATGCTTGAAACCTGATTGCAGCTACCTGCACAGCAGACGTACCTCGTTTTAATGTCCATCGTTTACATTTTAGCAGGAAGCTGCAGCCATGGGTTGGTTCCGCCAGCGCACGCACTAGCTACCGCGGGAGTAGTTAGTAGCGAAGTCACGGGCTGAAGGGGCGAAAGCCTGTGGTTCCTACAGAATTCTCGGAGAAATCCCCCACGATTCCTAGAACCCACCACGTCGCCTTGGACTTGGAGCCGACAAATCCGATGTCTTCCTTGCTCGTATCGTGCAGGGCTTGGCCTGGCTGCTTGGGCGCGGCGGAGAGCTGCTTCGGGCGACAGGAGCTCCGGAGGCCCCATCGTGAGAGTGCGGATCCTGCTCGGTTCCCAGAGGAGGCCAAGGCATTGCAATCACGGGGCCCTGCCTTCGTTGCATCGAGGTATGCCTCCATGTCAGGAACATCCCAGGCAACAGACAGAAGCTCAGGCGACACTAACTTATGTTGGATGGCCCACAGGGCGCGGCTCCCCCAAGGCAGTGGCGCTGGAGGAGTCCATCCGCCGCGCTCTGCCCGAGAGGTCGCTTCCTCCTGAGGCTCCGGAAGTGCTGTGTTCCCACTGATGAAGTTGGCAGATCATCGCATGACATCAAGCTGACTTGGGGGTTGCTGCAACTGAGGGGGAGTCCTGGGGACAGCACATGGTCTAGCGGTGCTACCGGTAGTTTTGCCTGACTATCCAGAGATGGCATCAGATGTGGCATCAACAACTGCTGTATACCATCAACAACTTCTGTATCCGTAATTTCAGCGATCGTGACATGGATGGGCGCTTGACGCACCTGCATTTCCATAAGCTAGCAGCTAGCATCACAGCTAACATTGGCATTCACCAGCATCTCGGTAGCTGTTGCTTGGAGTGCCGTTCCAGGCAAAGTTACAGATCAGCATCGATGACTTGTCGACCTTTGCATTCGACACGCTGCTCGCTCGTACGTTCCCCGGACAAGCCATGTGTGTGCGGAGTCTCGTTTCTTCGTCGAAATTGCTGAGGCACAGACGGAGTCCAAGGCTGAGCCTGGCACAGGTAATCCGCGCCGCATATAAACTCTTGCATGTGCACCGTCGGCTGAGGTCAGCACCGACTTCGTTGCGTTGCTTTTGCGTGGATCCCAAGGCCCCAAGGTCCAACAGGTGAAGCAGGGCTGACGTTTAGGACAGCTGTGGAGCGTAGCTTTGAGGTCAACCTACACGGATGGTTTCCTTCCGCCCAGCAGTGCCCACTTTGGCCGGGGCCCTCGGCGCTCGGCCCTGGGCTTCTCCAAAGTGGCCTTGGCCCTTATTTTGGAAGGCACTCTCCTGGCCGATCACGTCCATGATTTCCGGGTGGGCCGATCAGCGATGAGCCATTTGCACTTTGTCCGGGCCTTGCAGTTGCTTTGTGGCAATTCAAGCTTCGGTGCGTAGCTTGCTCGTTGTCCAGGCTGTCATGGGCTTCGGCAGCTCTGTGTACGCCTCCTCCTTTGCCAGTCACATTCCGGCTCTCGCAGAATTGCCAAGACGAACTGAATGCTGAGCTTGCCGGGCCCAAATCAAAGACACTGACTAAGTCAAGGCGGATGCTGGCCACTTCTGCACTGCCGCAGTGTGGGCCTTGGCAGAAGTCCAGGAGTGGAAACATAGGTTGGGTGTCTATCCTTCCAGATACCAAATCCTGCCATGTCAGCCGCTAGTCAGCTCAAAGAACTTCTGTCCCCTTTCTAGGTGCGTGCGGATGCAGCTCTTGCTGCGCTGGGAGGGCTGCGTGTGGCGCGACTTCTGCGGGTGCGCTACCCTGCGGAAACTTTGTGCAAGTCAAGGACAGTGACGCTATCAGCCAACATGTGGACGAGAGTCAGAGCATCGCCTGTCGTCTTGCCTGAATCCTGACATTTCACCTGTGGCAGTCACTGTTGCAAGTAGAGTACCTTGTAAGTCCGAGACTTGACACCGCGGATCCCGGATCTGAAATCTTGAGCCGAGGTAGCACACATTGACATGGTCTGCGCTCTCTCTCTCTCTCTCTCTCTCTCTCTGTTTTTGATTTCTCGAACAGGTCACGGACACCAAGGAGCTTGCGAACCAGGCCCATGAGACGTCAACGGTAAAGGCTAGACGTGCGCACAAAGCAACCCAGCCTGAAGCAGGCCAGCGAATGGCAGCTCGAGCTACAGTCCTCAATCTCGGCCGAGCCGGCGCAGGGTTGGCAATAACACGCAATCAGCCAACCGACAATCAATCAACCAATCAATCTCACTCACTCACTCACTCACTCACTCACTCACTCACTCACTCACTCACTCACTCACTCTCTCTCTCTCTCTCTCTTTTCCTCTCCTGCTCTGAATATACATCTGATGTATAATGCACATCTAATAGTCTAGTACGAATCATATCTGGCAGCAGATCGTGCTGTCTTATCGTACGGTGCTTGCATTCGCATCTGTATGCGCATGTCATCCTGTTCTACTCCATCATGAGTTATTTTAAAACACTATATACACACACCATGTTGTCTTGTATTAGCTGATGTATTGGAATTACATTAGACTTGATGTATGTTGGTTTGAGTATAAGACGTCCCGCGTCATGTGTTCTGTAGCATGTCATGCAGCATAATATCTTGATATACTATATCATGTAATGTTGTGTTGTTGTATGTTATGAACTGGATTGCTGCATTGTGCGTACACTGCACATGCATGACAGGTACTATACTAGTATACATCCCCGTGATTCATGTGTTAGTACAATACATACGATCACTAAACAACAATACCTACTCAGCCTATTCAAAAACATAAACTGCGGTGCACAGTGCAGAATGTGTAACATGTAACCTGCAGTATACAGCATGTATTAAGTATAGGTCCTATAAGTTGTGAAATCTAGACTACATAGCTTTCGTCATTACAGTAATGAAACATACACTCGTATGATCTATGAAATCCATTAGGCACAACATGTATGTAACATCTGACTTACGCAATGTACAACAAATATTTCCACATGCAGTACCGGTCCTAGAACATACTTTACATGATTACATATTCACATTATATGATGTACCTCAACACGCAGAATAGAAGAGTACACCATGTCGTAGAAGGTCATGGTTATGAGATGATTTACTACAACGTAGAGTACACAATAACATAGCATGCCTCAACATATCATCAGACAGTCTATTATGTCATAGTAAGATATAGACTGTAATATGGATTAGTCTCATCCAGCAAAACAAGAACTCAGTGCAGGGTCGGTCGGTCGTCAGTCTGTCTCCCTCCATGCATGCATGAAAGCAATGTGCGTACGCTGAGAGAGCGTTTGCCAGGCTGCGCTCAGGGGCCTCGAGATTCCGAAGGCAGGGTTCTGTGCACTCAGACGGATTCTGGCTTGATCGCTGTGAGAACATGTCACGGCAACCAGTAGTTACATAGGAAAAAGAATAGAGAATACAGACTCTACACGCATGTATGTATATGTGTATTTGTATAACAGAAGATGACAAAATGATCAGAGACAGTACGTTCCACAGGCATGAGTGCGCAGGACTTGGGTGATGTGACGGTGATGTGGTCTCTTTATATTTTCTCGCTCTGGGTTACGCACCTCTAGGGAAGTTTTTGACGGTATTCACGATGGAGAAGAGACCGCGGTGGATCAAGGGGGAGAATGTGTCCATGTATCTATCAATATCTATCTCTATCTGTGTAGCTAGGCGGCAGCTAGGCTAGATCTATAGTTGGATCCAGACCTCTACCTCTACATCTATCTTTATATCTACCTGTCTGTCTGTCTGCCTTCTTTGATCTCTCTGTTTATCTACAGTGCATCTGCTGGATAAGAAATGCAAGCTCCCAGCGTTGGGTACCCTTCATGTCTTACATAACTTCTTTTTGCTTTTACATGTCCACATGTCCCAGCTCTCGAATCGTTGAGTACCTTTCATGTCCTGCTCATTTCGTTGCCGGGGCTCGAGCTCATGCAAGTATGCTGAGCCACAGGCTTCTTTCCATTCATCTAGGCAGACACCGCCAGGACAGCGTTTTATTGCATTGTGATTTAGTGTTCAGATGCAGCCGCCAGCCCTCAGCCACATGCTGTCAATCTGTGAATGTTGAAACCGCAGAGAAGGAAACTGGGCCTGGAAACTACCCGAAGTAAGAAACGTTGCCCCCTAGACCCTTATGTTGGCTTCTGCCCTGTGCCTAAGGCTTAGGACCTGGAAAACAACCAAATAAAAAAAAGTGGCCCCGTACATTTCTTGTTTTGGCTTCTGCCCCGTGCCTTGGTACCTGGAAACTAACCGAAATAAGAAATGTAGCCCCTTACATTTCTTATTCGGTCCTCTGCCTTGTGCCCTGGGCTTAGGACCTGGACACCGCCCGAAATGAGAAAGGAAGCTCCCTACATTTTTTTGTTTCAGTGGTTTGAGAACACCCGAATTGAGAAGCGAACCACCCAGCCAAACCAAGAAATGCCACGTTAACACCGGGTACCCTTCATTGCTAGGAGGCACTTTAAAATTCAGGTTTTTTGTAGCTACAGTATGCGGTAGACGTAGCCGCTGCATCTCTTCTCCGACCATTGCTCGTACAGTAGTTGCACTGTAGCCATCTATCTATCTATGTATCTATCTATCTATCTACCTATCTATCTATCTATCCATCCATCCATCTGTCTATCTATCTATCCATCTATCTATGTACCTATATACATGTGCACATGTCTGATGTTGCTTGTTTATGTCTATGCACGTTTATGTACTACATTTATGTGTATATATGTATGTATATGTA